TTTGGTCTGTGGCCTTGGGCTCCTGAACAGTTAGTTACATACAGTAATAGGGTGAAAACATAGTCTAATGCTTTTGCAAGAATGTGTCTGGTTACATAAGTTAGTGATGCTGCATTAAAGTTCAAAGCAGCTTTACTTCTTATTGAAAACTCATCTCATATTGTTTAAGGCAAATACAAAATCCTCTGTGGGAATACAATGAAAGGAACTAAGACATAATACCTTTGTCAATGAACTTCAAAGTTGAAATTTACTTACACATCCCTGCCATACTGCAGATAAAACAGTTCTCTTAACGGTCAGTAAATTAAAGCACACCTACAGTGAAAATCCTAGCTTTGAATTATCAGTGTTGCTGCTGAAACAATGTGCCGCAACTCCACAGTTTTTGTAGTAGTAAAGTATTGTTTGAAATTGAATCAAATATTTTAATTTTAATGTCAACAGCAGTGGGGAAAGTAAGATATCAGTAGAGTTCTGCATTTCCCTTGCCTGTAAGCACAGCCTCCCTCCAGGACTGCCTCACAAACACTATATTTTTGGGTGTAAGTATTAAAGTGCAATAAGTAATCACATTATGGGCACGGTTTGCTGACGCCTGCAGTATATAAGAGATGTTATAAAATTAAATTACAAAGACTACATAATATATTTTGAGAGAGGATTTCTGTGAAAAGAACTTAAACCGCTGACATTTTTTCTTTCCTGATCAACTTACCAACATACAGTAATATCTTAACTTAATAGCAAATCAATGAGCATGTTTTTGTCATCTCTATTTCTTTCTCTTGCATCCATTATGTTCTAAATCCCACCATCCATTGCGTGTTGAAAAATGACCGGCAGCTCAAACAAATTATCATTAAAAGATTCACACTTTCATACTGTACACGGAGATATTCACGGATTTGGTGTTGCCAAATGAAAATGTGATCTTTGATTCATTTGTCTCCTCTCCTTTTTCAGTCACCCCCCTCCTGTCTCTCTCTTTTTGCATCTCTCATTAGAAAGACTCAAAGTTTGGCACAGAGGAGAGGAGGTAGGGCTGCAGGGGTTGCAGCTGGTACCCTGGAAGAGGATCTGGCACAAGACAAAAAGAAAAAGAGCAGAGAAAAGAGGAAATTGGGAAAGAATAGAAAACTGGAGATGGACAGATGGAGGGCAGAATGAAATAGAGGGCTGGAGGGAGGGAGAGAAAGAGATAATGATGATGAGATTTCAGCTGGGCAGAATAGCGCTACGGGCTAGATAGAAGTGAAACTGATTGGGCTGAGAGAGTTATGGGAGGTGAACAGAGAGATAGGGCAAGAGATAGATAAAGGGGACAGACAGCAGATGGGTACAGCCCTCTTAGTGTCAGTTGACCACTCGTTTGTCATCAAAAAGGGATTCTTAGACACAAAAGAAGGGCAGAGATGAACAAAGTACTGTAAGGAAGCAGGAGGAAAACATTTTTTGAACCTTTCTATGTCGTTTTTTCTTTCTATCTGATTTTGTCATTTGGAGTAATTCTCCATCCATTGCTCTGCACTCCTAATGTCCCTCACTCTGGTCATTCATGCTTTGTTCTCTAGAGCTAAGTATTTATTAATCAATCACCTGCCATTAAAACAATATGATGGTACTTTTAATGACTTTTCCTGCTTTGAGCAGTCTGTAGTAATTTTTGCTGGTCAATGTATGTCACACTTCTGCATTTTCACAACCTGAAACAAGGAAGGTTTGGTGACTGTGAATCAGTGTTTTATGCAGGGGAATACTATGATGGGTGAAGCTCGGCAAAAACAATTATGATTGGTCAAATTTGCAGAAAGGTTGCCTTATGAACAAAATTACATGGTGGCATAGAATCCAAGGGGATTGGTTTAATTAATGATAATTGATAGGCCTGTGCTCAGACTGAGTTTCAAAGGTGTGAAAAAACGCAGCCCACTCTGTTCATTTCTATGGGGGATTGCGTTCACCACAGCCCACACCACCACAGCAGGGGCCTCTGGTAAAACGAGAGCAAAAAAGTTGGATCTGGTTCAGCTTTTGATACACCAGATGGTGACACTATCAGGAAAAGGCCAATCACATACTGGGCGCAGTCTTTGTTTATATTGTTAGCATGAGCATTCGCTGCTATTCACTCTCAAATCTGGACCACAGTTAATGCACCACAATGACACGCCATGTGTTTTTGTTAGTTTGGGTATAGTGTTTTTAATCTATCAATGCCAACACACTCATGGTAGAAACTGGTGCAGCACAGCTAACCGAAACACACCAGAAACTAGTGTGCTGGAAACATGAACAAAGCCACTCACTTCAAATTGTCACAATGTGGCCGTATTGTACATGCCTAAAAACTCCCTCTGCAATGCCCCACCCCCCTGACCAACGCAGCCTCTTGCATGAAAACAATGCAGGGAGTTGTGTTTTGCCCGACTTAATGTGCACATAGCGTAACACAACCTTAAAAAATAATGCATTTTTTAAACTCTTTTTATAACCTAAGCTTGTCTTCAACTATATTGACTGGTGTATATGTAGGTTACAGGGTATTTTACATGCAAGCAGTTGCACATCCAGAAGACACTGAGCAACATTAGCATTTTTTCTTATGTTGTGCTATTGGCCAGCTGGCAAATTGAAGTCCAATAGTCACTCTCCTTTAGCCCTGTTTTAGGTCAGCACTATTTCTTGAGGAATACTGTATATCTGGCTCTTTAGATACTAAATGATCCTGTGTGTTCATCAGCTAGTTGCTTGGTGTGTCTATTAGCCATGTGATGCTGGGCAGATAGAGTCACTATATTGTTTTATCAGGTGTCTGCTGTGGCCAAGCAATGAGGTTATAAGTACAGTGACACTGAACCAAAACAATAAAGTTGAGGGGTGTTAAACCAAACCAATTAGCTGAAAGATATTAAAATGCTCCATAGAGTTGAGGGAAAACTGAGAACTGAATGAGAGTTCACCGTGGTTTTATCTCTACAAGGGACACCTTTGACATTGCACATAATTAATAATTAATCATCCTTAGTAATGTAAAACTATTGAATTCAACAACTGCAATTTTTCAATACATGATGTCACAGATGACGTTATTGGTAGTGCAGCATAAAGTCAACATTGAAGATCGGTGGTTTTCAAACATTCATGTTTCCAGTTTCACGCAATGTTCAATTAAAGGTATTTGTGAAAGTTGCATAATGATTCCTCCAGCAAGAAAAACACTGATGTGTCAAAGAGAATTTCTCTCAAGTAAGACACACACACACACACACAAATATGTATACTCCAATCAGATGTACGTATGTAGTTGGCATTCGGCCCAGACATTCGTCTTTCTGTGGTCAAAATGTGCTAGACTGGACCAGCTCAGCCTAACCCAGGGTCAGCACCATACAATCCATCACAAACCTCTCTCTATCTCTTTGGGCTCCATCAGCCCTCGCTCTCCTCATTTGTCTTTCCCAGCCACTGTCTCCTGCTTTCTGTACCTGACTACAAATGCAGCACAACTTAAGGTCAGCAGCATGCTCTACATCACATCTTTTCCTCTCTGCCGTCATCTCTCTGGCTCAACTCTGTCACGCTTCCAATCTCTGTTATTTATTTTTTCCTTGTTTTGCACCTTCATCCCTTTCAGTTTGCCATATGTTTCTTGCCCTCTTGCTCCTTTCCTCACTCCACCTGTTTTGGCTTTTCTCTCCCCTTATCTTGCTTTACTCCATCTCTCACTCTCTTCCTTTCCTTCTGTTCTGTCTAGTAGCCAGCAGAGCCCCAGGGTTAAAACATGCTGGCATCCACTAGTCTGCCAGGTGCATGTACTGTATGTGTGTGTATGTACTGAGGAGCGGGTAGCATCATTACACAGCAGACATCTGTAGTGCGTGTGTGTGCAATTCCTGTGTCTGTTTCGTATAAAATGTCACATAACATACGAGAGATGCCAGTTAACCAGCAGTAGGCTCTTTGCGTGGGATGAACTATGTGTTTGTGTATGCCAAATGCACTATATTGCTGTAGGACTGTTATTTACTTGATGTCTGTATACAATGGCTGGTGTTCACAAATTTATTACTGACCATTAAACGTACCCTGTCAGTGTTTCAACCACTTGTAGAGCTATGGAGCAATGTTTTCATGAGTGAGTCCCCATTTTGTTTGTACCTCATGAACAGCCACTCAGTGGGTTGGCCCCTAATCACAGGGTTGGCGGTTCAGTCCCTGGCTTCTCCAGTCAAAGAGTCCTTGGGCAAGACGCTGAACCCCAAGTTGCTGCCGGTGGCCTTGTATAGGTGTTCATCAGTATGTGTAAGTGAATGTGTGAATGGGCAAGAACTGTAAAGCACTTTGAGTGCTAAGGTAGAAAAGAACTATTTATTCAAATATTGGCTCTGCAAATGTTTTGAGGAAGGATGTACAATCAGCTTTTTTACTAAGTTACACAGTATAATGGACTAAGAAACAATGCTTAAAAATATGACTTCATTTACAATTTAAAAAACACCATTTGGTTACCTTACCCAGGCTGACATCTGGTTGAATCCTAATTTATCCTTTGTTGGTATCTTATATTGTCTACCCCTGAAAATGTCACAGTACATACTAGGCCACCCAAGTTTACCCCATGTATAGAGAGTTGAAGTAATGTCATCACATCTGGTAAAACTCTGTTCTACCAAGCTCTCGTTGAGCATTTTTTTCATTGGCCATTGTAAAAAAACTAAATATCTTCCTCAGGGTATTTTTCCCTAAAACAAGCCACCAACCACTACAGCAATTACTACTGAAAGTTGAAACCTTTGTGGTTTTAACAAGCTTAATTAACGATTTTTTTTTTTATGAATCAGAAAAACTACACTGATCCCATGATCCCATGATCGCTTTGCAGCACGGCAGTATGGACGTTACACATATTATGCATTGTTGTTATTTACTAGACTCTTCTGGACTGCGGCAGTCCAAGTAGCACAGCGTTAACTGTGTGTATTTGATATTAATCTCACCTCTCTCAACTTTTTAAGTTGTAAAAAACCTAAGAAGATGTGTGGTTACAGCCATCTCTCAACTTGGGACCTCAGTTCAATTCTCCCACCAGTTGACTGGCACAAGCTGGTGACGTTTCAGCCATGATGAGCTCAGGCTTCTGGAAAATGATGTTCATTAAAGCCCTGTAAAAACAGAAATATTATGTTAATGTCAATAAAATGTTGTTTTAAAGTTATAAATCATTTTAGTTTGAGCAAATGTTGTGAAACTCACAACATATTATTGGAAATGGCTGTATTCCAAGGCTCGATTTTTAATAATTAGCCAGATTATAAATCTCAGTGGGATTTTGAAAGAGGTTTTCTTTTTTTCTGGATCAAAACCAGGTTTCACAAGTTCCAGTTTCACTTCGGCTCTTTATTACTGCATTCCTTCTACTGGAACCTAACCTAGCAGGCAGTCCTGCTTTGTTTTCCACAGTATTTTCTCAGTGTCGGTCTCTGTGAGAGGAGCTGCAACCCTCTCACACACAGTCAGCTGAGCAGAGGGAGAACAGACACGGCGAAGGATAACTTCACAGTGCATCAGCCAGTAATGGAGATTGTATGAGCAGTTTATCAAACAGCTCTTGAACAAGCATGATTGAAGTGTGAAAAGCAGATACCTAACTAATCATGGGCGACTGCTCTGTGTGCACCCCCTCCCCCCACATGGAATTTGATTTTAGTACTATCGCCTGAGAGCTGGCAAAATTTAGCTCACCTCCAATGGGAGTGCACGGCAGTAGAATCAAATGCAGAACCATTGACGAGCATTACTTGGCTCAAAACATTCCAGTAGGTTCCTATAATAGAAAAACCTCTTATTTGTTAACAAGTTCACTTACATTACTGTACATCAGCAGTTAGTGTTATATGTGTTTAAATGTGTGCTTCTGTGTATTTGTTGGCTGTCGGTGGATCATTTGTGCAACATTCGTTTGTTTTATAGGGCACTTTAGCATTCATCGGATATAGAACTATTTGATTAGCTTATTCTTCCACAACTTTAATATGCATTTGGTGTCCCACCAATGACAATCATCAGTCTCACTGTCATGGTGGCCATAACAGTCCAGACAAAATCAAACACACATTAAACTGCTTATTGGATATGAGAATCTACACAATATAATGCAGTTGTTAACACTGTCAATCCAGCTGCTAGTTTACTGCCTGCCAAATCACAGGTTTTACTGATTAGTGGTCAAAAGCAGACACACAAGCAACCAAATATAAAAAGGTCACGTCTCAGGTTCTCTCTCTTTTTGTTATTGCCACTCTGTCCGCTCCCTGTGTTAACAGCACCAATGGTGATGCCACTGGTGAAAAGGGTTTTTGTTATGTCTTAAATGAAATCAGCATGAAACCACATCTTGACACAGAAACACACTCCCTGCACACACACAAACATACAGATACTAAGAAGCTTTGGGCACACACTTGCATCCCCCCACCACACACACACAACACACACACCATGATTAAAGACCAAGGCCATCTGGCGCTGTAAAGAGAGCAAGGAAAGCACCCTCATGGATGCTGATGCAAGCGTGGAGACATGTCCTTTATATCATCCTTTCTTTCCTTCCTTGGTTCTTTACTTGCTGTTTGCTCACTTGCATCCTCCACTCTCTATCTCATCCTCCCTCTGTCTGTTATCTTCCTTCCTCTGTGCATTCTTCCCTGATGTTTTGTAATGGATGTGGGAGATAACCTGTGTACTTAGTGGGTACTTCTTTTCAAGCCAGCAGCACCAAACAAATGCTCAGGCAGATTCCTCCAGCTGTTGCTATGAAACTAATGAAAATATCCGTGAAGCACAGCAGCCTTTCACTAAAAGTTAGCGTATTATTCATACTGAACACTAAACACTTCTGGGAGTTTACATTTAAAAGCGAAGAAATGTGAAGTGAATGCTGAAAAGAGGTTCCCAGAAAGAAGCTGAAAATGTAAAAGTGTATAAAAATTAGACTTTATAAATAGGCTTTCCAAGTATAATGGTTTGCAATTATTGTTACTTTTACCAAGGACATCCAATCACTAACTCTAAGGTATTTAGTTCCTCTGCTTTTTTTTTCCTGGAAGTGGTTTTTAAAGGTCTCCCATTAAGCTTTTTGTGTTCCATTGCAATTAAAAAACTACTCTTTCAACTTTGGACATTTTGTACTCTGTAAGAAAAATCAAATATAAGTGATTTAAAAAACCCTCCGGCGCATAGTGGTCACTGCAGTGGACAGCTATTCAAAAGTCATTTTGTCCTAAATGCACTGGTTTCAATGGTGGAACTGCATATCAGCCACTAGAGTGCTCTCTACTGCACCACTCCATTGGGGTTTATTCAGTGGTCAGTCATTGTAACTGCAAGTGAATTTCCTCTGAATCCAAGATGGCTGACAGTAAGCCACACTTGTTGACTACTGCTGGAATATCCTGTCAGACCTTCTATTCCAAAAGAACCCTAGAGGTAAAAAAAAAAGAAGATCAGATATAGTAACATCTAAGTAATAATATTACACTGCTCAAAAAAATAAAGGGAACACTTAAACAACACAGTGTAACTCCAAGTCAATCACACTTCTGTGAAATCAAACTGTCCACTTAGGTAGCAACACTGACTGACAATCAATTCCACATGCTGTTGTGCAAATGGAATAGACAACAGGTGGAAAGCATAGGCAGGTAGCAAGACATCCCCAATAAAGGAGTGGTTCTGCAGGTGGTGACCACAGACCACTTCTCAGTTCCTATGCTTTCTGGCTGATGGTTTGGTCACTTTTGAATGCTGGCGGTGCTTTCAGTCTAGTGGTAGCATGAGACGGAGTCTACAACCCACACAAGTGGCTCAGGTAGTGCAGCTCATCCAGGATGGCACATCAATGTGAGCTGTGGCAAGAAGGTTTCCTGTGTCTGTCAGCGTAGTGTCCAGAGCATGGAGGCGCTACCAGGAGAACTAGACAGCACTGAGAGTTCACACTTCTGCCAAGGGGCGACTCTGTTTCAACATGCCATAAAAGCAGTATTCCCATGATAGTAAAGCAACATTAGAAGGGTCAACCTCATAATTTTACTTGACCATGAAACCCTACTGCTGGCAATGATGCTAATATTATTATTATTAGTTTGAAAGTTATTCAAGAAAAAATGACAGGCATGACACTCATTGGTTTAGGGGTGAAATGTGGACTGCAGGAAAAGTGGTGAAGACGTCACATTTCTTCAAGTTTGTGTTCTGCTTGTTCAACAGCTGTTTGAAAAACTGCTCATACAGTCTCTGTTACTGGCTGACTGTTGCACTTTGAAGTGTAAGCAGAGACCAATACAGAAAAATACAGTGGAAAAGCAAAGTAGGATGTCAACCCGTTAGGTTATACTGGGTGACGGTAAGAAGGACGACGTTTACCGCTCGTTAGGTTCAGAAAAAAAGCAGCTATAATGTGCAGCTGGAACACTGGTATCCTCACCAACAGACTACTGTGCACTGAATGAGATGTAGCTGCCTGTCGATAGAGCTAGCCTGGTCAGATAACAAGAACTCACATCTCAGAAAATCTTGGGACAATTGTCTAAACTAGCATTACAGACTGGCCACATATTCTCAATCCAAGTGGTAACTTTATAACCTGAAAATGTCAAAACGGCTTTAACCCTCTGGCGCATAGTGGTCACTGCAGTGGACAGCTATTCAAAAGTAATTTTCTCCTAAATGCACTGGTTTCAATGGTGGAACTGCATATCAGCCACTAGAGTGCTCTCTACTGCACCACTCCATTGGGGTTTATTCAGTGGTCAGTCATTGTAACTGCAAGTGAATTTCCTCTGAATCCAAGATGGCTGACAGTAAGCCACACTTGTTGACTACTGCTGGAATATCCTGTCAGACCTTCTATTCCAGAAGAACCCTAGAGGTAAAAAAATATGATGATATACAGTAACATCTAAGTAATAATATCATTATTTTATTTTTGAATTTTTTGTTTCCAATAAGTAGTAAATTGCAATTAACCATGTGTCCAATAAAGTGGACATCATGCATCATCAAGTATATTTCTGACTCAAGTCATGTAATAGCTTCACCTTATCTTGTGACTGTTTTGGTTGTAAATCAGTATATTTTTGCTGTATTTTATAGGGTATTCATTTAAAAATGGATAGTCTTGTGCAGTTGTATTTTGTGTGAGTAACACTTATCATTTTGTCATATTTTGTAGACTGCAAGTGCAGCAAAGAATAAGGAAGCCTATAGAATAGTCCAGGAAATTCCCTCCGACTCCAGTGATGATGATTGTAGTGACAGTGATGAAGAGTGGCTGCCAGAGAACAATAGAGACATAGGAGCTGAGGATGATGAAGGAAATGCAGTCACTCAGGATTCAAACAGTCAGCATGCAGATAGGCAGGATGATGAGGGCCAGGATGCAGAGGGAGGTCAGCTTGATGAGGGAGCTGTGAAAGATGTGCACATGGTACCTGGCACTCAAGCCTGCAAAAATGTCTGGAAATTCCAAGACAATGACTTTAATGGAGACTTGCCTCCTCTTCTAGGAGACTGGAAATTAAATGTTGAGGGAAGAGATCCAGTAGATTTCTTTAGGCATCTGTTTCCCGCAGATCTCATTGATGATATAGTGCACAACACCAACTTGTATGCTCTCCAGAAAGGGAGAGAAAATCTGGCTGTGACAAGAGAAGAAATGCAGATTTTTTTAGGGATCAACATGGTCATGGGGTACATTCGGTACCCTAGGGCACGAATGTACTGGTCTAGTGAGGATGGCCTTCATCTCAGATTAATTGCAAACGCCATGTCTGTGAACAGATATGATCAAATTCTGGGTTACCTGCACTTTGTGGATAACTATACTTGACAGCCAGCAAACACCTGCACTTCAGGAAACATTCAAGGCTGCAGCAGACCCTGAAGAATTTCAGTCCATTGATGAGCAAATCATTCCCTTCACAGGCCTTCTGTCCATCAAACAATACATGCCAAAAAAGCCCAAACCCTGGGGAGTGAAAGCATGGGTGAGGGCAGGGACCTCAGGCTATATGTACAGATTCGACGTGTACCAGGGCTCTGCAAGACGTGATCGCGTCATTTGGTTGGGAATGGCTGGAGATGTAGTGATGCGCTTTTGTGATGA